CATACATTTAGGTGAATCATTCTGTCGGGCTACACCGTTGAACTTTTCAAGGGTGTGCCCTTTTTCATTTAATAAAATAATGGATACTACATGAATACCCGCTCATTCAGGATCTGGACCCTGGAAGCCAATTGGTCTCTCGAGGACTGTTTTGTGTGCACAAATTAGAAAGTACTGTTTGAGTCACAGGAAAATGATAACGGCAAGGACACTGACCTTGATAGAATGGTTGAATGTACCACAGACTGCATTAACTTCTGTATGGACACTGTACACTGCTTTCCAAACAACAAACCGTGGATCACCACTATGGCTGAGCCTAAAAGTAAGGCCGCAATATTTTTAGGCTATATCGCGATACACAATATATATCCCAATATTCTTAAATCTACTCAATAGAATATCATAAATACATGATTTAACCCTTTGATGCACAGCCTGTTTTTCACTCATGACTGAGTGGTTCCCAGCAGATATAGACAGGGAAACATTTGTTGATAGTCATACTGATAATAGCAACACTATATATAACTGATATATGAATATGACATAGGCATGAAAAAATATAGAACTTTATATATAACTTTATATTTATAAATATATATAAACATATATATATAAACTTATTTTTAACCATTTTAGCAACTGCATGGAGAGACAGAGGAGGCCACATGTACTAGATGGTCATAACAGAAACCCAATGTTGGTTATAATTAGGTTGATAATTTAACAGGTGAAGGGCAGTATTTTACCGGTGCTCGCTCTCTCTCTTTCCTGTGACTCCAACAGGACTTTCCAATCTGTGCACTCAAAACAGTCTTTTAGAGACTCACTGGCCTCCAGGGTCCAGCTCCTGAATGAGTGGATGGTTGCAGCCTGCCTCAGTAAACAGGGTTTGTAGGAAGGCTGAAGAAAAACCAGAATATGATCAAGTGTCTTATTTTCCCTTGTGGGACAGTCAACAGCTAGCTCCGCTCGTGGTTGAATGTAAACAAACAATGCCAACGATGTGAGAGAACTCCCTTGGTACATAGTATGGTCCAAGACCAACTGCCAACAGTTCAATATCCCGACAGCAGATCTTCTCCTTCACTGTGATATGACCTGGCTGCACCATCTTTTGCTCACAAGCAGAACCAGTCCACCTTTTTTCTTTCCATTTGCTCTGACGTCTGTCCACTCATGCTGGTAAGCCAGGTAAACAGTCAGGAGTATTGTTGTTTAGCCAGGTGTCCGGGAAACACATGAGACTACACTCATGATATGCTCGCTGGTCATAAGAGCCTCCAGTTCATCACACTTGTTAGCCAGAGAGTTGACATTTCAGTATCGATACTAGAAAAAGCTTATGTTACGGCTGGTGACACAACACCAGAAGGAAGTTTACTGCATGAAAGTTTATTGAAAATAGATGGGGGAAACTGAAAAGAAAATAGATACCTTGCACAAAGGTGCTGCTGCAGCAGGAGGGAGAAAGAGAGAGCTGACTCAAAGGGCCGGCCTAAATAGACTCAGCCCACTAGTCAGCACAGGTGTGTGTCAATGAGGCGATCCACCAAGAGGGATCAGCATCAGGATCAACACGAAACACCAAAATAAAACAGAATCCAACACTATGTAACACTTCCCCTCATAAAGATGGCACTTATGTGACATTATTCATACACTCATGACAGAGCATCAGCCCCAACATTTTCTTGGGCCTTTTTATGGCGAATAATCATATTGTTGTTAGGAACAATGTTGGCCCAATGCATCAGCCTCTGGTTACTGTTGTACATGCAATGCAAGAAAACCAAAGGATAATGATTTCTGCTTCTTACTTAAAGCTGAGCAGTCAGCTACAATGTGGCCTGGCTTCTTGTCGAAGAAACAAATCCTATCCGAGCGTCCATTTTTAGAGCTGAAGACTTTGTTAGCAGAAGCACAGGAAGAGGAACTACTACAAGGAATCTTATTAGAAAAGTGAGAACGCTGCAAGGGTGTGTGAGTTTTAACCTCAGTTTGGAACTTATCACTATGGGCTGAAACATATTCATCAACCATTACAGCAGCATCCCTTACAATTTTTGCTCTCTGTTCACTTAAATAAGTGGAAACCAAGCGCGCACAATTTTTTAGCTCTTCCAGAAGAATCAACTGGCGCAACTGTTATTTTATCTCCACTTTTTGTGAGGTGCACCAAAGTAAAATACATCATCAATATAATGCTTCAAAGAAATTATAAAAGGGAGGAAGGGTTTTTGTGGTTTGTATAATATTTCTTTTTCCAGGTGACTGACAAAAAGACTAGGTGCACTTTTGCAGTGCGAGATGTGGAGGTATGGTATGTCGTTAAAAAAAGAAATTGTTTCTCTTAAGAACAAAAAAGGGGCCAAATTAACAAGGAAAGTGGTAGAGGGTGTTCTCACTTGTCAGGTGCTAAGGAAATGTTCCAATGTGTCTAGGCCTTGCTGGTGGTGAATATTTGTGTATAAGGACTCAATGTATAAAGTACACATGACTGCATTTGGATCAATTGGTGGAAGTTCTTTAGACTTTTTCCTTTCTCCTTGCACCTTGGAAGTAAGTGAAGTTGTGCCATAAACGTCTACTTAGCTCAAACCAGACTGGCCATTCACCTTTGATCTCTCTCATCAATGAGGCGTTCCCATCCATGCACTGCCACTCACTAGATGTTTATTTTTTTGCACCATTCTGAGTAAACTCTATGAGAAAATCCAAGGAGAACAGCAGTTTCAGAAATCCTAAAATCAGCCTGAGACCAACAATCATCAAATCACTGAGATCATATTTTTCTCCATTCTGATCTGATCATTTGGATCATCTGCAAGATTTGATGTATTTAACTGCTATCACATGATTTTGTAATTGCAGCGAGTAGACCTATGGAAAAGTCCCTAATAAGTGTTCAGTGAGCGCATGTTTTTTGGGTAGCTGTGTGTTGTTTCAGCATGCACAAAAGGGCTAACGTGGCTCAGAGCTGATTGAGAGTTGAGAGTAACCATTTATATTAGGGGTGAAGCTGTCTGTTGATATGAGGAGTAAAGAGGTGTAGCAGACATACCTGGTCTGGCATCAATCACAAGCCATTAAAGAAGTTCACAGTAAGGACATGCTGAGTTACTGACCCCAAATTGACAATTTCTTACTCTTCCCACTATCAAACTATCAAAGTGATAAGAAACAGAGACAAAGGACCCTTCTCTCATAAAAAGACCAGCTTTTAGCATGTCAGAGATTTGAACAGCCACATCATGGGTCAAAGGGTCCGATCCAAAGGATCAACCAATGGACAACCAGGCAAATTGGAGAATATAATTTAAATCTCCATTTTGTAACAATAAGACTGTATCTGTATTGATATTTGATTGTTTCTTATATAAGAAAAGTAACACCAACAGGACTTATTATCACTAGTGTGAATTCTGGACTCTCTGTGCCATGCATGAATACATACACACACAACCCTCTCCCCCAGAGTCAGAAACTATAACCCACATTCCAATTCTAAATAGTGACCAGCAGTCACATATATTGCTTGATCAGCTGTGTCATTCAATATTTTATAGTCATGGTGGAAGACGGATGTGCACATTTTATAGGAAAACTGATTGAACAATTCTAAATGATTGTGGAAAATAACTCTCCTCTCTAAGATGAAACAAAGGAGATGCCTCTGAAATGTGCGCCAGCCTCCAGGAGATAAAACAGTTGTGATAATTTCACATATTGCTCTTAGCCATCTGCTCTTACATATAGGCTTAGCCACAACTCTTAGACATTGCTTTTTGCCCTTTTGCACTTAATTGTTTGTCCATGTTCTTTGTTCTTTCTGTGCCACGTGCTCCAAGTAACATTCTTTTTGTCTAGCACGATTTATCATTTTATCATTCATTTTAAGCCAAGTCCAAACTAACGGAACCAAAACAGCAGAAGTACCTCAGAGTAAATTTTGTAACTTTTAATTATTATCAAATTTTCATTTTAAGATTTTTGACAGTTTTGGAGTCATCTGGTCAGCGCCAGCCAAGTTATCTAGCAAAAGTTAAGTGCATTAGAGTTTATTCTGCATCAAACAGCAAGCAAATAACATATGTGACCACGACTGCCAGCAGAGAAGCCTACCAGAAAGCAAGAGTGTCTGAGACGGAAAGTCTGCTGGCAAATGCCACTAAAGTTCAGAGACATCGGCAGAGCTGGTTATCCTGGGAACAACGACGTCGCCTCCGAGAGGTCCCACTTAGAGTCACTGTTGTCAAGGTTACCAGTCAATCTCAGCTGCTTGGGCTCCAGCCAAGGGTCTCCAGCTAGGGCACAACTCACAGTATGCCGGTCTTAACATTCTGCTCATGATGGAATTAGCACACTGGTGTTTATAAATTGTTTACAGAGCAAGAGGATGAATGCAGAGGTATACAGTAGGATTCTGGGAGCTCAAATTCAGCCAAATGCATCACCTTGCTGCCCAAAAAAACAAACAAATTTAATTTGTTTTTAAATTAAAAAAACAAAATACTTATTTACCTCATTTATGTGCCCTTCTTTAATTTCAATTCAATGTGAGTCTCTGCTGCGTTTTTCTGTCATTTACAGTTTCTCTACTCTATTCTAGAGCAGAGCAGGTGAGAGACAGGCTGACAACGTTATGTGCAATAAAAGCTTTCGATTAAAATAAATCCTTATAAATCCCTCTAAAACCAAATACAGACAGACATCAATCATCTGAAAGTCAGGCAAAACCACTGTGTTTTAAACGCAATCTGGCAACAGTGGTGAGGATGCTAGCAGCTCTGCTACTCATGGCAGGGAAGCTAGTCCTAAGAGCACTGGCAGCTCTCCTGCTGTTACACCTACAGTACAAAGAGAAGATAACAGCTCGGAAACCCTGGAATATCCAAAAGTGAACTCAAAAGTGTCACAAGAAAAATTTATACTAAAACTGAATTAAAACTGAACACAACACCAACATTTAAATAGATGTATTACAAGACTCATACCCATTCCTAGCAGCAAGGTGCAGAGGGGTACAGCCTGAGATGTCCTGGTAGTTTGGGTTGGCTCCCCTCTTTAGTAGCAGAACGAGACACTCCACTGATCCACAGCTGTAAAGAGAAAATACAGGGCAACTTAGCTGTCCTGCATACTCCCTTCTTCTCAAAATGTGACAGGTCAGTGTTATCAGCAACAAACAGTGTTTTCATCTACTTTCCAATTTCCCTCTCTCGAAGTATCTAGCACTGAAAAATTACATTTGAAGAAGAATAATCCATAGACCTGACTAGACACAGTTTTCACTCCAACTACTAAGTTAATAGCTAACTACTAATTGCTACTCAAAAAACAGACCCCAATTATCAATCCTATGTTTTTCACAATTTGGATGGACTGACCCCAGACAATTATCAAGATGAGCATGACTGATGACCATGAGAAAAGTCTGGATGATATGAATAATTGAGTGAGCAGGTGTGTATGTTTTTCAAAATAAAGCTTAATGTATAAACCAAAACAACACATGGATTTCAAAGTGTTCTGAAAATATAGTTATGTGTGAAAACACAATGTTGCTTTTGGGTGCTATACAAGACACAGACTTACATGGAATAATAATATATGTATTTACCATTTTTAATTGTCATCAGGAGGATAAGGATGTACCAAACTAGATTTTTGGTCTCTATACTGATGTTTCTGATCTCCATATACACCCATACCTTGAAAATTCAATTACTTTCCCATCTGTAGATTTTGCAGCTACAGAAAAATGGCAAATTCTTCAATGTTCAAAATAATCATTAGGTTCAGCTGTAATCATAAAGTTCAGCCGTAATTATCAATAGACCTTGTAGTACATTAGTTCCCAAATCAAATTACCTTCAACCCAAGAAACATTTATATATATATAAACTTAACCACAGCGGAATGGGTCCAGTCAGTTGTTATGGAGAGTTTTTCTCCAAAACCACTAGAAAAATCTAATTGATTTCAGTTTTTTTTTTTTTTTTTTTTGTCAAACTACAACTTCCATAACTGATGATTTACTACTACTTTTCTACTACTTTCAACTAGTCTCCATTTATCTTGATGACAGCTTTGCACAATATTGGCATTATCTTAACCAGCTTCATGAGGTCTTTAATATCAACAGGTGTGCCTCATCAAGAGTAAATTAGTGGGATCTCGTCTTCTTTATGTGTTTGAGACCATCAGTTGTGATGTGTCATGGTAGTGTTGGTATATAGTAAATAGCCCTACTGGACAAGGAATGGAAAGACACAATGCTACATGTCATACAGACATTTGCCTCCCAACTACTCCACATCTCTTTGTAACAAATTCTGAAATATGCTGGACGAGAGAGAGTCCTGAAAGAATTCAGGGTGTGAGTGAAAAATATCTTACTTGGCAGCAATGTGCAACAAACTTCTCTTCACCCGTCCAAAGGCGTAGTTCACATCAAACTTGGAGTTGAGCAGCAACTCTGACACTGACCTTTTAGACACAGGATGGAACAAGTAAATTATTTCTTCTAAAGACATACACACAAATTCACTATACCTCTACCTAATGGTAGCAGACATAAAGATGATTGGAAAAACACAATGAGACTTGTTACTACTGGTAAAAATATGTAAACATGCCAAGCTTACCTGTGCTGGTCAGCCATGACCATTGGCATGAGTGTGTACACTGCAGTCTCATTGTCTGTGGAGAGCAAGCCAGAAGAGGAATGAAACTATCAGACAAAACTTGACAAAACTTAATAGACACTACTGGCCTTATCTTACACCCAGCATAAAGCGTAACGCAAGTCTCTTTGCTAGGGTTAGACCGACGCAGCTGTCATTTTTCCGTCCAGCACCCACATTGATTAAATAGAAAATACACTTGTGCCTATCTGTGTGCCCATGGGCGTGTTGGTCTTTAAATTAGATGTGGTCAGGTGCATTGTTGGCGCATTGTTATCTTGAGAAAGTGGAAAGTCATTGCGCTAACCTGGTCTTAAGTCAGTGGCGCAGTATTTCACTGTAATTTTAAGGAGCACTGTCAGGAGAGTAATATGTGCCAACATACACGCACGCATAGTGCACATACACTCTGCCTGTTACACACAAGCAGAGTGAGCTGAAAATGCTCTTAGATGTTGGATAAGTCAGGTGAAACATTATAACACAGCCTCAGAGGGTCGGAGCATCTTTGTGACATGTTGTGTGTTATATAACGGTGTCATATTTCATATGGATGTCTCTTGCACGAGACTCTACAGAGAAGCGTTCTTTCATCACTTACTTTTGTCCACCACAGTTTCATAACAAACTGAGGATCTATTAACGAACAGTACATTGATTCGCTCAGCCCTTCTTTGCATCTGCGCACTGAGCTGCTGCATGCATGTGCGAGGACTACTCTAACTGGTCAGTCAAAATATATGATCAACTGACCTGTGATTGATTTATTGGATGTTACGCCCCAAAACACTCCCATGAACAATTACGAGATAAGTACAACAGTGAGCAGTTGAGTCACTACAAGTGGATTTCTTCAAATCCACACACAGTCACTTCATGTTGTCTGATATACTGTGTTTGTTTTTGGTATGCTGTGCTCCACAGCAGAAACTCTGTGGAAAAACTGGGTGTACCACATTTATGTTTCCCAGAGTGGGAAAATGCCTGCAAATGTACATGTCTCACATGGAATACACAGAGATACACACAACAGGCTTTTCTCACAGCACACATATTTTTATGTTATAGATAGAAAAGCAAAGATGTAAATATCCAAACGAATTATGACTCTTCCAGGGCAGCACGTGTAACATGTCGATCTAGCATGTTACATTAAATACACAACAATAACCTTGTATAGAATTAAATTTTGTCAGTATATTTATCTTCATTAGTTTGTGTAAAGTATACATATTTTTGTCATTTTTATATATTTTTTTGACGTTATTTAGTATTTTCATAAATAGAGCTAGGTTACCAAGGTAACAATACATCTATATAAAGTTCATTACCAGGGGAACAAGTCAGTCCGGGCTTGTATCCCCGAGGTGAGTGAGTGACTGTGAATGATTTCTGTAAATATTAATATTTTAATGTATCTAATCTAAGAGAGAAAGTGAATATATTAAATTGTTTTATTGAGACCGGGCTTGTATCCCCCAGATCCCGAAGTGCTTCTGAGCAAATCAGTGAATCGACATCGGAGCTGTGTCTCTTCGTTGGAGCGTTGGAGTCAACCAAACTGCCAGCCATTACTTGCACTGACTACTACACAATGCAGAGACTGTAACTATTATGTTGAAAAAGAGATTTAATGGGATATCATAAACTATATTTTCAGGAGCAGATTGAACCCTGTTACACACGATATGCAAAACAAAATTATATTGTGATTGTTTTGGCAGATATTGTGATCGTGATATGAGTCACAATGTCAGTTGGATTAATAGTTTTTACATTTCAATTTCACTGAAAATGGGTCTTGTACGAAACAAGCACATTCCTTTACGTCTGGAGAATAAAAATTGTACACATTTTACCAAACAATTGCAGCTCCTGTGATTTGGATATTGCGATTTTGACTATATTTCGATTAATTGTGCAGCACTACTCTTTTCCATGCAGCTGCTTCAGTTTCAGGGGCCTGGTTTTCTATTATTATTGGCTCACTGTTGCACTGCCATCATGGTTTACTGGGACACTGGAATAGAACAGAGCCATTGTTAATATTATGAGCAACACCTGTGCTTTTCCTACTATGACAAGACAAAATTTGTGCTGTGAAAAGGCTTATACAAACAATATACATGTGGACCCTCACCCTACAATGTACCACTTCTATTTTAAAGCTCTGTATCTGTGACATGACTGATGTATGTGAACAGAGGAATGAGAGAACCATGAGTATAATGGCTCTGTTTTTGTGATTGATGGTAAGTTTGTTGTTGTTGTTTCTCATTAGAAACAACATAGTGAAGACACAAGGGTACATCACAGTATTGGAGTTGAATTATGCTTTTATAAAGCAACAACAGGAAGAGGGGGATCAAAAAGGGTGTTTTGAGTTCTATTTTCTCATTACTCATACTGTTGAACTAAAAGCTAACTTTTTTTTTTAATTCTGGGAATATTCATAGCAATCATGTTTATGCTATGTAATTCCCAAACTAATCTTACACAAACTAGAATGGATAAGCAGCAGTAAATGAGTCATTATAAGAACTCATTAAGAAGACATGAGTTTGTCATATTTCAGACTAAAAACTTTGCAAACACCTACAAGACATTGTATAGGAATCTGCTTTCTCATCAGCATTCCAGTTTTAAGCATTCCACTAGTATATTTTTTTAATTAAAAAAATATAGCCCCCAATCCTAGCATACAGGAGTTTCAGTCTGACTTGACTGAAACTCCTGTATGCTTTGACAGCTGGCAGTCAGAAACTGAATACAAACAAGGTATATCATAACTAATTCCACAGACTCGACTGTACCAGTCTTTACTATCGGTGAGACTGACAGAGGCCGACGCAGGGTACTGTGTCTGTAGGAGCACGTCAAGACCATTTTTGGTTGCTCGCGGGTCAAGCTTCGAAGACTACATCGTTACCTTCTGGGAGTTCCACGGTCCTGGCCCGGCGGAGGGAACGGGTCAGCCGGTTGAGCTGTACGTTGAGCTGTTCCATCGCCCGTTCCATCATAGGTGATCGCTCCACCAGGATGAAGCTAGGGAACAAAGGCTCACCCGTCAAATTACTTGTTCCTAATGTGGTTGTGTTGTTCCTGGGCGTCGTCCATGGGCGCTGGCAGATGGGGAACCGTTTCTCCGACAGACAGTGAGTTACAAAACACTATTTTTTTTACTGCCACACTGCTCAACTCATTCACCTACAACGACCGTTATGACTTCCTGTTATGATGACGTTCATACCCTATGCAGTGTGGGTGATGTAGTTCTTAGCTCTTATTGTGCTTTGAAATTTATTGACGATTGGCAAACAACGAATTGGTGCATTACCGCCACCACCTGGAATGGAGTGTGGATCAGAATGTCTAGTAACTGACTCATATTCCAAAAATACATAAATGAAATGAAATATATAATAATAATAATAATAATAATAATAATAATAATAATAATAATAATAATAATAATGAACCTCATATCCTTTTAATCAGTTTTGTTATTTCAAGTATGCAGGTAGATTTGTTTAACCCTTGTGCCCTCCTCACTACCCTCTGGACACCTTCATGGCAAAAATGTACACGCACAAAAAAACTGCTTTTAAATCATCATACATGATTATTTTTTTCTACTTTTTTTTCATAAATCTCTTAAACAACTTCAAACTTGCTCAAAACTACCAAAGTAGTGATATTTGACATTTTTACTGTATTCCACCAGATTCAACCATTTTCCCATTGTAGGCCGATGCATGAAATTCTTGTATTTTTACCAGTTATATTATGGAGCCATGTGACTACCAAGGACCCAGATTTTCAGCCCGTACTTCGCTGGCTTGCTGGGCATGTACTGCCGGAATTTGCAGCGGCCTCTGAAGGTTACGAGCAGATGACGTCCCCCGGATTGAACAGGGGCGGGAGGTGCTGTGTCCACTTGTCCCACATATTCCGGAAAGCAGAAAACTTTGTGTTCCTTGTGTCGAGAAGGATGGGTGAGTCGGTCATCGAATCAGAGGCTGGCGCTTATCATTTGAAATCGTTTGTGGGACATGGTGGCCCTGAAGACTGGTCTCCCACAGGCTGCGGATAGATTCCCCTTTGGACCGGTACACACCTGCCAGGATGAGAAGTCCCATGTATGCTCAAATCTCTTGGGCATCCACATCACTCCATCCTGACACAGAACGCCTCCCGTGTAGGTTTGTCATTTGCAAAATCAGCTGGATCATGTCAGGAGTGAAGAAAAGGGCAAAAGAGGATGCCACAT